TGTGCCATCAAATTGGATCTGACTGGTACAAGAGGTGATTGTTCCTCCTTCTTCAGCAGAGCATCTGTAAATTAAGTTTTAAGAGAAGGAAACGGCCCAGTTTTCTACCTGAGAGTCACTGGTAGATTTGAAGCATTGGAGAAGGGCAAATCTTAGGTTAGCAACACAACTCACAATGGACTATACCACCACAACTCCCTTTCCAAAAGGTTGTTAATGAAAATCTAGTGGATTACAACCAAATATTATCTGAATGCAACCAGATTAGAGAATACCAAAAATTCTGAAGATGGTTTGACATTGTTTTGTTGTCATACCTGGAGTCAACTCCACAGCCACTAATAATAACAAAAGAGCAGCCAGACTGCATCACAAATTTGAGGGTGTTAGCACCTTCTTCCAGCATGCTATTATCTCACAGTCATAGAGTGACATTTCTTACCATGTATGAAACCTAGCCATACTGGCTAGAAGCAGTAAAATATAGTCTGCAACCCCAGCAAACCATACAGATCTTTCTGGAGTAATACATACTGGAAAAAGATGCACAAATGGAAACAAGAAATGTAGGGGTAAATCAGAAAAGTGCTGTCACATTGAGGGGATTGCAACAAACATCACAAAACAAATGTGTAGAAATTGTTGAATAGAAAATTAATTTGCTCTGTAAACATGCACATATACCATATATTTTAAAAATGTACTGGGAATAACTAAGATTAATCGTGTTTGAGCAATTAGCAAAAGGAATCATATACACTGGTGGTGTGGTGGTTTTCATGATACATTCCCAGTGCTAAAAACTTAGGTGGTATGAAATTACCTTTTATTTCTGAGACATGTTTCCAGTTTTGTAGAATCAAGTAATCGTACTCTAATCCAACACATCCTTAAGTAAACATTTTTAATGTAGTAAAACACTGTATTGAAACTTCACCCATAAAAACTCTAAACCCTCCACTTTGGTGTATGCATGTTCTAAATCCACTCTACAATCAGTTCTATGGTGTCATCCCCTTAAAACATACTCCAGAGAATGTCTGTAAACAATAGTGCTTTCAAAACCAATTAATTGAAAATGTAATCTTATCTCAGTAAACATGAATGTTGAAAGGAAATCACAACCTTTTATCAATAAAATAGAGTCTATATTTGCATGTGCACATATATTTGAAAGAGAAATGCCAGCATTTATCATGTTTCTCCTCAAATTCTGAACATACAAACTAACTAGTAACTTGCTGAATTTAAAACGGTTGATGGTAAATCAGTGTGTAAAAGAGAGTGGTGATTCTGCTTGGTAACAATTACATACAGAATACTTGGGATCTCAGAGCTGCCTACTTATAACTTGTGACCCACTAAAACAGAGAAGAAATAATAAACAGTCAACAGTAAAAAAAAAAAAGTGACATTTTTAAGAGAAAAAATGACATAATACTTCTCAATGACAGGAACCCCAAATCCTCCCTTTCTAACAATAAAAGTTGAGATTCCTCTTGAAAAAAAAATGGGGGCTACTAATGGCCTTTAGGAAAGATCTCTGTGTTAAACTTAAGACCAGGAATGCCAACAGGAATGTCTAAACTGATAATAAAAGGTAGGAAAGAGGAAAGTTGGAAAAAGAGCCCCAGAGAATAAAAGGAAAAATGAGGCTTGCATGGATGGGGAAACATTGAAAATCTCCCTCAAAAATTGTCTCTATTTCCATCAGTTTGTAAGCATTTATGGAAAAAGATTAAGAAATACACAGAAGGATCTTTGTAATAAAAAGGAAAAGAAAGGAGAGACGGTATCATCAGTAAAAACTTTGATGGAAGAAAAGCAGTCTTCTGTTCAGAGAAGGGGGGAAAATTATTTTCAGGATTGAACTGTGACCCAAAGAGCTTTCCAGGGTTTTCACCTTTCAAAAGCAAATCAAAAGTAGACCACCAGGCTTTTCTTTCAAAATGTCACTCAATGGATTCAAATTTCCAACTTTTAAGTTAATAAACGAGTACTTAGTCAGTACTAACCAGAAATTTGTACTTGTAAATTAAGGGGTGAACTTTCACATGTCAGATGTGTATTCATTGGTGAGAGTTTGTCTCTGTGGTTTGGGCATAAGTCCAGAATAAAGACAAAACAATGACAACTAGCCACAAAGTGGAAGAACAAATAACATATTAAATACATTCACATCCTTGTTAATGCTCACATTGTTAAAGTTAATAATTTTTTTATGTCTGGGGCAGTAAATCTTTTTATAAACTTTATTTTATTTTAACAAAAGTTTACAGAAAAGCTGAATTTTCCTTTATTCATTGCTACATATTTTCTTCCTTCTCTCTCCCCCAAATTTTTTCTCCCTTTTTTTTTTTGTTTTTCATCTTTAAAGATAATCTTATAAGAAAAACATTTTGCTTGATAAAGTTCTTGCATACCTTTTGTGGTTTGCCATGTACAATGTCTTCATCAAACACATTAGGACCCATTATAAACACATTTAGTAGGCTAACAGGTTTTGGGATTTCATACATTTTTAATTCTATTTTCATTCTATTGCAAAAATTGGTCAGTCACCAATTTCACAGGAGGTAACCTACTTTAACCAGCTGTATTCCCGTCAGAGTTCTATCAAGAACTAGTTTATTAATTGACCCTTTGTTAATTCAACTACTCTTTACTTTTTTTTTTTTTACTATTTAGGCTAACATAAGCACAACCTAGAAGATTTCTGTCCCTGCCCAATATTAAGTAATTGAGCACATAATTTTTTTATAAACAGACACATATTGAAACTAAAAATTTAAACCAGAATACTGTTTTAAACAATGCCCAGAATAGCACATCCTCCCACAAATAATCTCGGCAATGAATTTAATTGCACATATTTCAAACTCTGTGCAAAAAAATTATTTTTCTAATAGACTTTTTGTAGAGTGACCTGATGGGTATAAACATGATGTGAAAATGAAAGTGAGTCTCTGAAATGTAAACAACAAATGAGAAAAAATTCTTATTCTGTTGGCCACGTCTTTTCTGACAGAGCACACCTATTGGAAATACAGGTTTATATGGAATTAAACTAGGAATTTGGGGCTGATAAACAGAGTACTAGTCTGAATCTCAAAACAATTTTCCCTCTTCCTCACTGAGACATCTCATTTTGCTTTTCATCTGTTCTACCACCCCTAAAATAAAAATATCCTATAGAAAATTCCACTAAGGTTTCCAAAGCTATGGAAATGTGTTCTACTTCACAAGACTTGTTTCTGGTCATTGTGGCTATGCTCAAGAGAGCCTCAGTGCAAGGTAGAATGGAAGTACTGTCTTTCATGTCGCTTACTGTCCAACAAGGCATCCATCTATCTTCTTTGAAATACTCAAGGACAGTCAATTAAGTCAAATTATTTCAAACACTGGACTCTCAACCGTAAGTGAGGATGCTGTTGTTAGGTGCTCTTGGGTGGAGTATATGATCTGAATGCTATCCTTACCTGTTCCATCCTTTACATCTCTGACACACTTGAGCCCAGTGCTGTAGTTCCTGTGTCAATCCATTTCATTGGCATTGACCTTCCTTCCCTGTCACTGACCCTTCACCATTCTAAGCATGAATCACTTTGCAACAAATGGACTCTCCTCACAAAATGCCCAAAATATGTGAGATAAAGTTTTGTCATCCTTGCTGCTAAGAAGTACTCTGGCTGTACTTTTCCCAAGAGGATAATGGATATGTTGTCTTTTTTTTTCTTCTTTTAAGTATGGATACTAGTACTAAGTATCTCTTGCCTCTTCTAAGAGAAAATCCTTTGGATTGTAACCAGAGAGTAAATAGCTTTTAATAAATGGAACAATAAGAACACACTGAGCTCTGTTCCTACACATTTTAGGACACCTACTCAGTTTCTCCACTTCTGATATAAGTGCTTTAAAGACACTCCATTTTGCTATAAAAGGAACAATTTGTCATTTATATAAACTGCCCACATCACTGCTAAATTGACTCCCACTCATAGCAATCCTCTTTCAGATTTCAGAAGCGGTAAATATGAATGGGCAGAAACTATCCAACTTTTTCTTTCAAAGTGGCTCACGGATTTGAACCACTGGAGATCTGTGGCCCTCTGCATAGCAGAACAATATGCTACAGATGCTACCACCTACATAATACCTTGGAAATAAGTCTTACAACACAGGTATTCAGAACCCACATTCCATAGAGCTTCTGAAATCCTGGTGGTAAAATGTTTAGGTTTTCCGTAGGACTATTTATATA